CACTGTGGATGGCGTAGACGGAGTTATATGCACAAGAAATATTGTATATGTATCTTTTCCAATAGAAGCGGAGCTTCCTACCCTACTCTTTCCGGGAATTCCTTTGCCTATGTCTTCACTCTCCTGCATCAGTACGAACAACCGCGCAAGTTGCCTTTTGTTGCTTATAATTTTTGATCTGTAATTCAGACACATACATGCATATGTATATTTCACAATTTTTTACAACTTCCAGTTCAATTGACTTACTTTTTATCCATTATAGTACCACTTTCTTATGTAAATTTTATAAACGCAAACTCCAACGACTAAAAAACAGCAATAGAAGGATGAGCGATTAAAAAGATTCACAGTCGCTAATTGAGCGACTAAGCGACACTCGCAATAGCATCGATAATCGATAATCGCTTAATAGTCGTTTATCTACTGTCAGTCGACATTCGCAATAGGGGTGGCCTATTATGGTATCCGACAGATGGTTGCGGAGGGAGTTTTACTCACTTTTGACAGATTTTGGTATTATCGAAACGCTCGATAATGCACAAACTTATGTGTTTTAGGAAGCGTACAACGACCAGGGAGCAATGTAAATGTTTAGTTTCCAAAATGAAGGAGCATCCGGACATAGCAAAAAATTTTACTAAAAATGCACCTGATTTGGTAGAAAGATTTTGGGAAAGTGTGCGAGAGGAGTTGAATTCGATTGGACCGCCATCAAAAACCATTGCAGAATGGAAAAAGGTTTGCGAAATGTTGAAAAGCTAAAATATATTATTCACTAAGTTTGAACCACAGGTTTGGTCGGACTATAAATCGGCAAAAAAGAAGAAGCTCGCGCATAACAAAAGAGAGCTACATGCGACTGGTGGAGGAGAAAATAGGGAAATTCCCTTAACATCTATGGAAGAAGAAGTTGCTAACCATGTGTGTCTTAATGATTGCGTTGGGGGTATTAGAAACTCCAAACAGTTTGGAGTGCCACAGGGGAGAAATTATGATGACGCAGTTCCATCTACATCGAGAAATGTTCCACAGATGAGAGCTTCTGCTATGAGAGATGTACCGCAGGAGAGAATATCTGAGGACACTTCTCCACCTACTCGGAGAGATTACGATGGTCATGAAGACGTAAATATTGAGAATGACCAAAATATTTCTAACCAAAGAAGAAAAAAGAGACCCGAGCAATTCGATTTATTAGAGAAGCAAATAGGGGTTCAAGAAAGACTGTACGAAAAAGTGTCTGAGGCTGTTGAGAACCAACAGGAATATTTTCAACACATGAGGGACCATTTAAAAAGACTGAATAGATCAGTAGAGAGGCTAGGCGACCAAAAAAAGAAAAATAATGAAATTCTACAGAATACTCTTGAAGAGATTAAAAGACATAACGCTGTGATGGAAAAGGCTGCTATAGAAAAATTAAGATTAAAAACGGAACTTTTAAATATTGAGTTAAATAACGTCAACAGACACCTTAATTCTTAAAATAAATGGGGCCTGACAATTTTTTTTATGAGATTTGTTTTTATTTTATATTGGATTTTTTTTTATAACTGTAGTGCCTGAATACTTTCTGAACAGGAAGGCTTTATTATTTAAGTTTTTTTCTGTTTTTTTGAAAATACTGTGTATGTAAATCAATGAAGCGATATGATTTTATTTTTATCTACATCCTTAGTGTGTAGACAACTTTGTGCAACACTTTGCCAGGAAGGCTTTTTACTTAAATATTAAGAAATTTGTATGAAAATGAATTTTGTGATAATAAATAGTTTTATTTTACAAAAAGCTACGTAACATCCCATTGCGAATTTGAGTGGCTTCATTTGTATATCGTTGAGGTTGTACAGGTTCGCCTACATATTCATCGGGTTCGTAGACTTCCTCTTGGTATTCGTCGGAAATATTATAATGTATCCGAATGTTGTGAAGTGCTGCCGCACCGTGTACAATTTGAACCACTTTCTAAGCAGCATAATGTAGTTGGCTAGCAGAAAGGAGACATCGGCACCAGTTCTTCCAAACGCCTATGGTCCGTTCAACAATATTACGGCCTTTACTATGGCTTTTATTAAATCTGCTTTCTGGACTATCAACGCCTGCACTTCGAAAGGGTGTTATAAGCCTGGGTAACAGTGGATAAAATACGCACTTTGATTATTCGTAATTTTATTGTACCTACCAGTCTTGTGCTTCTGCCTCCATTTTCATACTGCGCTTGGAAGTAGGTGAAAGCATCACTATTTTCCCAAATAAAAGAATCGTGACTTGCACCTGCATACCTACTGTTCACATACCTTATTCTTTGCTTATGGTCACATATCTGAAAATGCAAAATAAAAGAATATAAATAAATAATAAATTGAAGAAGTTCAAACTCATTTAGTTCTTACTATCATTGCATTAACACTGTAATATCCTTTCCGATTATAATAAAGGTGTGCATTGCCTGCAGCTGGTTTAAGAATTTTAATGTGAGTACCGTCTACACAATTCCAGGAATTCTAGTTTTTTCGAAAAAATATCTTTTCGCTTCAAGTTTTTCATTGTCTGTCATTGCTCAAGTAGTCCATCTGGGACATAGAGTTGATTCTAAGATGTTTAGTACATCAGAGAGTACTACAGAGACTGTGGATTGTGCCATGCCAATATTAAAATCTTGGCCAGTACCATTCTGATAGCCCCCTTCAGCTAAAAACCTTAAACAGGCTTCTAATTTAAGCTCTGGTGTTATGGAACATGATCTTCGAACTGGAGGCAATTTCTGCATTGATATTTCCAAAACGTACTTGAATGCTAACTTGTTAAGCCGAACTGTTTTAGAAACCTGTATAAGGAACTCACAAGTTAAAATGAAATAAAGACTTCAATAAATTTACTCACACCTAACCGGCCACTCGAATACATTCACAACATTATCCCTGACTTTCCTTCTAGTCCGTCGCATATCACTCCTGGTGTTTTCATCGAAATCAATATAAAAAACCCCCAGAATCCATTTAATATTTGCAATAAATTTCACCAATGTTAACAAAAATCCTTCACACATATAAGCACAGCTGATTATGTTGGCAATACAGTTCACAAGAGGCAGTGCATCCGTCGGTATCAATAATAGCGTTTACTTAAAAAAGTGAATCGAGTACGGATCGGATTAGATCCGAGCGGATGGAATCCGTCATGAATAACTTCAGACAAAATTTTAGACTGAATAGAAGTGCTTTTAAAAAATTATGCAGTTTTCTGGATTACCTAAAGAGAAAGGAAACAAGATTCCATAATACCATCTGCTTGGAGAAACGAGTTGCCATCGCCCTATATGCTCTTGGGTCCTCAGCGGAATATCGTAGCATTGCGAACTTGTTTGAGTGGCCAAATCAACAGTATGCGCAGCTCTCTTGGAATTTTGTAGGGAAGTGTGGAAAGTGTTACACCCAATGTATTTCAACCACTTTCCCCTAAGTAGAAAAACTATTGAAGACTGTTAATCGGTTTAAACACATTGGATTCCCTCAGTGTATGGGTGCTCTTGGTAAGCCCTTAAAATTATTATTTTTACCCAACTATGTAGCGAATATATTTTTCAGATGGATGCCACATAGAAATTCATCCCAGACGGGAAGAAGCAGTCGATTATATCACTTATAAAGGATAGTATTCAACAGTGTTACTAGCACTTGTTGATGCAAGGTACCCAGCATGAAATTTTTAGATATTTTATTTTGCGTATATGCATATTCCTCCGAATGTAAATTACATAGCACATAACTTTTTCTTTTCTTTTAAAGATAACGTTTTTTATACATCAACGTGGGAAGTCCAGGAAGATGTAATGATTCCCAAATCTTTGAAAAGTCCAGCTTAAAAAGGGAACTGGAGAACTGCTCATTTCTGAACACAATGAGCACAAATTTAGGAAATTTTGACATCTCAGTTGTCATTCTTGGAGATTCTGCCTTTCGTTTTTCCAAATATTTAATGAAGCATTTTCCATTCAGTTTGGATAAGACGCCTTCACAAAAAGCTTGGTTGAAAATGCTTGTGGGCAATAGAAAACAAGGTAATTAAGTGAATATAGTATTGTAGTAACATATATGGGTGTTTCCATCGGAAGGTCCACCACGGCAAAAAAATAAAAGTCATATCTAACGTCTGCTTTTTAAAATATATATTGGCTATGTAAGTAGAATCATGTTTGCGTAAAATGGTCTTCCTAGGTGGCGCCAAGGTCGAGATATTTCGAAAAACCATATTTATTGTCCGATTTGGTTCGGGCCTTGAAAAGGGCACCAAAGAACAAAGCAAGCGCTAAACTAAACAATTTTCGCCTTTTAATTCCCTAAACGCACTTAATTTCTTGCGAAAGGCACAAAGTTGGCAACAGTTATATCGATGTCAAATTTGCTCATATACAAGCATGGACAGAGAGTGAGCGCCTGCTTAAAGAGCGTAAGATCACATGCAAATACATGCGAGAGCGTAACAAAGCGAACGCAAATTCATTCAAACGTAATTGGCACACTAACACAATCACGCTTTCAGCTCGCGTTTACTTGGGGTAGTGATCACATCTGCTCATATACACTCCTCGTCATTTGAATTGCACACCCTTTCAATTCTTAGTATTTACAGTTTTCCGTTTGTTTATTTAATATAAATTGTTTGTAAAAATATTGTCACTACATACGAATAAAGGCGCGCTGGTGTTTTGACGGTGAAAAAAAGCGTTTAAAAAAATTTTGCGAAAAAAGATGCTTATAAAAAATTTTGGCGAAGTATGTTAAGAGTATTTGACGCTGAAATTTTGTTATGCGACTTTTTTCGCCGTCAACTTTTGAGCTCGCGCCTTTATTCCTGTCTAGTGACGATATAGCATATTCTATGGGTAAATGCAGTTTTAAAATTTTTTACAAACTAAAACTTAAAAGAAAGTTTATTTTCCATTTCGTGGGCAGCATTTTAAATGATTTTTCGTTTTTCTCGAGAGCTGGAAACAGTTCTTAAAAAAGGTCAACATAGGATCCTAATGACCTGCAGTGAATAAGTTAATAATCGGCCCTATTCCCGTTGGCGTTGTCGTCCATTTTGAAACGAAGATAGGAACGCCATAGAAACATTCGTCTACTGTCGTCCGCATTTTTTAGAACGAAAGCGAAAGGATTACGATTTTAATAAAGTTAAAATGAAAATTACTACCGTGCAGCAATTTGAGGTTTTAGTTTCAGAAATGGAAAAGAATCCCGCGTACGCCAAAGGTTTTAGGAAGGGCATAAAACCTCTTAACTTCAACAGTTTTTGGAACGTGGTTGCGGAAAAAGTAAATCCTTTTGGACCTCCAGTTCGTGATGGAGAAGGTTGGCATAAAGTAAGTAAAATTATGTTAACAGTAAATATTACTTAAAACTAACGATTCTACAATTCTACTAAAGGTATGGAAGGACTTGAAATTCAAGGTAAAGAAAAAACTGGTCAACAACAAAACCGAAGCGAGAGCAACAGGAGGAGGAGCCAATAGACAAATGCAACTGTCTCCACTGGAAGGAGCGGTGGCAAATTGGTTGCAGTTTGAGCAGCAAATAAACCCCAAAGGGAGTGAGTTGGGTTTGGTTGAAGAAACCGAAATTGATGAGTTGCTTAACCTTGATGAAACGACTGCGAGTTCTCAAGTACAGGCAAATGCAGAAAACGCCGAAGAATACGTCATCGAAGAATATGTGGAAGATGAAACACCCACAGTTTCAACAAGAGCACAAAACCTGCAGAAAAAGAAAGAATTGAGCTGTTGAGGAAGCAGACCGAAATACAGGAAGTGCAGTGCGACCATTTACAGTCCATTAAGGGATACATGAAAGATGTTTCCAGATACCAAAGAAAAAGGTATGAGATAGAAGAAGAACGCCTAAAAATTTATAAAAGGAAAGTGCGTAAAGAGGAAGAGCTTTTGGAGCTGGATGCTGCAATAAAAAGAAAGAAGTTGGAGTTATTGGAGAAACAATTAAGTTCCAATATCTAATTTATTTCATTTGAATTTTTATTTATTTTTTATGAAGTGTTTTTTCTTTTTTTATTTTAAGTATGTATGTATATAGTATGAATTAAAAAATATAACTTATAAAGACAAATTGCTTTTAATCACATCTCTTATTCTGGAAGCCTCTGAGCTACTGCCTGCCTCATTTTCATTAATAATGGCAGAATTTTCTGCTTCTTCGAATGGCGTTTGTAGATCATCTTCAGGAAAGTAAGTATTGTAGTGAAGACAAATATTGTGGAGAGCAGCACAAGCGTTTACGATTTTAGTAATTTTTTGGGATCATAGTGTAACTCACGCGCTCCAAGGAGGCAGCGAAATCGCGATTTGAGTACTCCAATCACTCGCTCAACAATATTTCTGGCTTTGGAATGAACGGAATTGTAGCGGCTTTCCGCACTGTGTTCAGTCGCTGATCTATAAGGTGTCATTAGAAATGGTTCTAATGGGTAACCCGCATCGCCTAAAAACTTGTATGTAAAACTCATTTCAATATTAATTGTAATTTCATACCAAGAATCCACGAATTACGTTCACCAGCTTCATATTTTTCCTGTAAAAACCTTTTTACTCGGCTGGTATTAAGGAATCGTGTCCAGAGCCTGGATGTCTGGCGTCTACGTATCTTATACGCTTTTTATGATCACAGATCTAATACAAAAAAGAATAAATAGTTAGTAATCACTTCCATAAATTACATTCATTCAAGTATTTACAATCATTGCATTTACGCTAAAGAAACCTTTTCTGTTGTAGTACAAATGTTGAGAGCTTTTGCAGGGACCAATTATTTTAATATGCATTCCGTCTACACAGCCAATGATTCCAGGAAAACCAGTTCGTTCAAAAAAACTTCGCTTGCACTCCATCGCCTCATCTTCCGACATTTGGAACTTAACCCAGTTTTTGCAAATTGTAGTTTCCATCGCGTCTAATACCTCGGATAAAATTTTGCTTACCGTGGGTTGGGTCAACGACAAATTAAAGTCATTTCTAACGCTAAGCTGATATGACCCCTGCGCAAAAAAACGCAAAGCAGTTGCCAGTTTTATTGTTGGCGTAATAGCAGACTTTCGCGTGTTGCGTTTTAGTTTCGGGCGGATTTGCTCTAGGACGTATTGAAACGCAGCTTTGTTCAGTCTAAAGGTGTTCACAAATCTAAAAAATATGCACATATGTACATGTACGTATATATATAAATAATTTACTCAAATACATTTTCTTACATTGTATCTGGAAGTGTTAGTACATTTATGCTATGCCGTAATCTCCTGCGATGTTTATTTATGTTGTTCATTTCATTGTCCTCACTTGAACTTGAAAAATAAAATTCCGTACTCGCCATTCTTTAATTTTTCGTTAGTATAACAAAATTCAAAATTCAGTGTCAAAAGTAACAACGCAAAACATTGCAGCGCTACCATACTTTATTAATTTAAATTTTTTGTTTTCGATAACTTTTCACCATCGTTTCAATATACTTCAAGAATGTGAATTTAGGAACGAAGCGACGATAAAAACGACAACGACATAGAGGCCCCTATTATGAGTTGCATTCGATTTTCGACTGTGGTCGAAAGTGCTGAGCGAACGAATTTTCATTTGGTATTATGGCGCTCATTCGATGAAGAATAGCGCTATTGTGAATTTCGCTCGTTTAGGTTGTTCACAATAGTATATTTTTCACCGCTGAGAAGCTTTGTTTACAAATCGAGCAAACTAAATAGTGTGCTTATACATATTTATGCAAATTTGTTCTAATTAAAATGAAGTAAAAAAGAAAGCAATTTTATAAAAACGTGGTAAAATGAGTACAACGAGTTCTGGTTCAACGATTCGTCAGAGGATGAGAGCTTAGTAAACTGGCCAGGAGTAGCAAATGCTCTCTTAAACATTTAAGTTTATTAGTCTTTCGAATATATTTTGATATAAAATATATTTAAGAAATTTGTCTACAGATTCATTAAAAAGTTCCGACCATCTAAAGAGGCGTTTGTGAGCCAAATCTATTTAAAATATTTTAAAACTATCAACAGCGCTACGATTTTGTTCTCAGAGATCGTGCCAACAGAGCATTGGCATTTTCTTTCACAAGTAAAACCAGCCTTTCGAGCTTGTGTTTAGTATTCACGATGTTAGAACTGCATGAAATTAATAAAAATTGTTTAAAATTAGTGTCTAGCCGCCAAAATGTAAGAAAACATATACAAAATCATACATTTTTCACAATTTTCTAACACTTCGTTACACCATCGAAAGCAAAATTCTGTTCGACAGAAAATTCGATACTCAACGAAAATTTCGACACGCCTGCATAGCTCATAATACGAATTTCACTTTCGATCTTCGATAGCCAGCGAAGATCGAAAATCGAATGCAGCTCATAATAAGGGCCAGAAACGATTATTATAACGACAACGCCAACGGGAATAGGGCCGAATATTTTTAGAAAAATTTCTGATATGCAGTTTTGTAGCCCATTCAATTATAGTGTAATTAAGTGCAAGTTTGAAGTGACCCTAAAACAGCCCCGATTTTTCAAATTCATTTATTTTTTATTGACAGTGCTGCGCATTTTATTCCATATAAAAGTTTTGTCGAGCATACTCTGTATGAGAGAAAACGCGCAGCACTATCACCAAAAAAATTTTCAAAAATCACCGCTATTTTATAGACCTTGAAACTTGCACTTTATTGTACCCCTTTGTTGACATTTTGTTAATTCTGTATAAAGTTTTAAAATCGGATGTAATGAATATTAAATAAACAAAATTAAAAGTGTAAATACTAAAGATTAAAAAGTTGAGCTATTCAAATGACGAGGAGTGTATGTGGCGTACATTTGGGAGAGTGAGCCTTTTTACTCCAGAATGCGTGTGCAGTGGCTCTCATTGTATATATACGTGTATTAGTAAGAT